CCCCCTCCCCCTCCCCTCCCCTCCCCCTGCCTCGCGGGCTTTGCTGTGTAAGCACCAGCGGACTTACAATAACATTAATTTTTAGCATTGCTGCGCTCTCGGATCGCTACCCCGCGCCTCGTACGCGTGTTTATCCTCCGCAAGAGAGCAGTAACTTCAATCGGACGCGGGCCACGGCTGGAACGTGTGCTAGCACGCTTCCGAGTTCAGGCGAAGATGGAGTTACTGCTCTCTTACTGTAAAGGCGGGAGATCTGTTCCTCGCACGCTCTATTTTACTCTATCGTTCTTTCATTTTTCTTGCTTGCTTTTTTCGGGCGATCATCTCGCCTTTACAGAAAGAGAGTAGTAACTCCAATTGGACGTGGGCCACGGCTGGAACGTCTACTAGCACGCTTCCAAGTTCAGGCAAAGATGGAGTTACTGCTCTCTTACTGTGAAGGCGAGAAATCTGTTCCTCGCACGCTTTATTTTACTCTATCATTCTTTTATTTTTCTTGCTTGCTTTTTTCGGGCGATCATCTCGCCTAGTGCGCGTGTTCATCCTCCGCAAAAGAACAGTAACTGCAATTGGATGTGGACCGCGATTAGAACGAGTTCTTGTGCGTTGCAAGGGTCCCTCTTAATGGAATCACTGCCCTCGTCTTGTAACGGCAGCTTGCCTGTTCGCCTCGCACACTCTATCTATTTTACTCAATTTTTTTCCCCTTCTCTTCTTCTTCTTCTTCTTCTTCTTTTTTTTAAAATTCGAACGCTTTCTTTTCCGGGTGATCATTACACGATCCGAGACATCGACGTCTCTCTCATGAAAGAACGTAACCTCATTTCAATGTCGCCAAATTTCCCCGCACAAATTGCACTAATACCAGGAGAATTTCGAAAATGTCTCATTGATAATTCCACTGATTTTTCTTCTGATCGCAAAAATTGGACAAAGTTTCAACGAAAATCACGCAGGTACATTTTTGCAAAAAATCGAATTTTTTCAGTCAATTTGGAAACATTGGCATTGGAAATTTTTTCCTCGGTGGTCAGGCTAACTCTGCTTGAACGCACCCATTGGATCCACAGAACTTTCTTTCCATTCTCACTAGACCGTCTTTTAAGGAGAATAAGAATCTTGGTTCACGCGATTCATGAGTGCCGACGCTAATAAAACGCCTTCAACGAGAAAAGATACTTCCTAGCGTGATCTCCGAGACCAAATAGATGCATCCTTTCAAAACCGAATCGACAGAGCTGCGACGCAGATCAGCGAGCAATGCGGTTGATTCATTTGCTAGACGATGAGTGTCGAAGCATAAAAAACGCCTTCAACGAGAGAAGATACTTCC